GGGAATTTTTACATTTGCCATATTGTGCAGTCATCACCACTCTCTAGATACAAAACATTTTTATCACCCCAAAAAGAAACCTATATCCTTTAAGCAGTCGTTCACTGTTTACCTTTTCTCCCAACCCCCAGCAACCACTAATCTGTTTTTGTCTCTATAAACTGGCCTATTCTGGATCTTTAATTTAAATGGAATCATACAATATGCTACCTTTTGTATCTGACATCTTTCACTTAGTATAATGTTTTCAAGGTCCATCCATTTTGTAGTGTGTATCTGTACTTCATTGTTTTTTATGTTTGAATAGTATTTCATTTTCATTTGATGGATATGCTACATTTTGTTTATCCATTCATAAGTTATGGACATTTGGGTTGTTTCCATCTTTTGGCTATTGTGAATAGTGCTTCTAGAAACATTTGTGTACAAGTTTCTATTCAAATACTTGTTTTCAGTTCTTTTGGATATATTTAGGAGTGCAATTCCTGGGTCATATAATACCTCTATGTTTAACTTTTTGAGGAACTACCAAACTGTTTTCCACATCAGCTGTACCATTTTAAATTTCCACTAGCAATGCACGAAGGTTTCAATTTTTCCACACCCTTGCCAAGCACTTCTTATTTTCCTTTTTTTAACAAAATTTATAGACATTCTGGTGGGTATGAAGTAGTATTTCATTTTGATTTGCATTTGCATTTCCCTGGTGAACAATGACACAGCATCTTTTCATGTGTTTCTTGTCCATTTGTTTGACTTTGGATAAATATTTGTTCAAGTCCTTTGACCATTTTTTAGTTGAGTTATTTGTTCTTTTGTTGTTGAGTTGTAAAAGTTCTTTATGTATTCTGAATTCTAGACCTTTATCAGATTATGTGATTTGCACATATTTTCTCCCATTTTGTGACTGTCTTATCACTCTTTTTATCGTGTCCTTTGATGCACAAACGTTTTACATTTCGATGAAGTCCACTTTAATTTTTTTTTTTCTTCTTTTTGTTATTGCTTATGCTTTTGGTATTATTTCGAACAAACCCAAGCCCAAAGTAAATATAGATACTCCATATGTTTTCTTCTAAGGGTTTTTTAAAAAATATATTTTTCTTGTATTTAGGTCTTTGATCCATTTTGAGTTAATTTTTGTATAAGGTGTGAGGTAAGAGTCCAGTTTCATTCTTTTGCATGTGGACATCCAGTTGTTTCAGCACCATTTGTTGAAGAGTCCATTTTTTTACATTGTATGTTCCTGTCAACTTTGTGGAAAATCAATTAACCAAAGATGTATGGGTTTATTTCTGGACTCTCAGTATCATTCGATTAATCTCTATGTTTATCCTTATGCCAGTGCCAAACTATTTTGATTACTATAGATTTGTAATAAGTTTTGAACTTAGAAAGTTTGAGAACTCCAATTTTGTTCTTTTTCAAGATTGTTTGGCTATTCAGGGTCCCTTTCAATTTCATATGGATTTAAATATCAGCTTTTGCATTTTTTGCAAAAAAGACGTTTGGGATTTTGATAGGCATTCCATTGAATCTGTAGATCACTTTGCGTAGTATTGCAAATGTCTTTCAATCCATGATTAGGGGATGTCTTTCTGTTTCTTTAGGTTGTCTTTAGTTACTTTCAGCAATGCTTTTCAGTTTTCGGGGTACAAGTCTTGCACTTTATTGGTTAAATTTATTTCCTCAGTATTTTATCCCTTTTTATACTATTGTAAATGGAATTTTTTTCTTAATATTATTTTTTGATTACTTATTGCTAGTGTATAGAATTACAACTGATTTTTGCATGTTGATTTTGTATCCTGCAACTTTACTGAAATTGTTATTTGCTCTAATATTTTTTCATGGATTCTTTGGGATTTTCTATGTATAAGATCATGTCATCTGCAAATAAAGATAGTTTTACTTTTTCTTTTGGATGCCTGATTATTCTCTCCTCTTACAGACTGTCCCCAGTTCTCTTTTACCAACCTCCCAGATACCTTCTCATCCTCTTCCTTTTGTAAGCTTGGGCATGGTAAGAAAATTCACAGATTTGTACCCTTGGTGGCACTTTGATCCTATAGGAGAGGTCCCACAGTGATCTGCTTAAAACCTAAATGCTCATTCTTTTTATCATGGAATGAGCCATGCCACAGAACAAGGGCAGAAACTGTTTGCTTCAGAAGCATTTCACCAATTGTGCTTCTTGACTGAATGTTATTAGTCCTCACACCTCAGGATGTCTTTAAGGGGCATTTTTTTTAACTTTTATTTATGCAATAGAATAAGTTTATATTAAAATATTATAGATATCATCATCAAAAATGGTGCCTTAAATTTTAACCCAAAGAGAATGAGATACATTGTTGCAGAAAATTTTTTTTGTGCATACATGACTTATTTACAAAAGGGGGTTTATTATATACACGCCATTCTGAGGCGTCCTTTTCTTACTTCACAATGTATATCATGGAATATCCTTCAATAATCTTATATATAGATCAAGTTAAAGGATGAAAAACAGACATTCATTTGGGACAGTTACAAAGAAAAACTGCAGGGTCTTGCTGAAGCACTGGGTTGAAAGCCATGAGGCCAGATCTGGGCAGAGTGGGGAAGAGTGCTGTGATATATGGGGTAACCGCCAGGGGAGTGGGATACGCAAGGCACTACCTTTAAGATGCCTGTTGGCCATCCCTGATGTTCCTTATGTTGGAAGGTCTTTCTCAAATTACTGCAGAGCATCTTATATCGTGGGGGCTCATTTTGGGGACAAGATTGGCTCTATCTTTACAAAAGTGGATTCTATTTCCCTACTCATAAAATGAGATTAAGAATAGGGCCTACCTTCAAGTGTTGTTATGAAAATGCAATAAGATGGTGCATATAAATGTATTAGCATATCATATTAGCACATTATAAGTGCTCAGTCAATGCCAATGATTATTTTATAGTAGCATTAGAATTTAATATCCACTGATAATAAGATTCTAAGTATTTCTAACATATTTTTCTGAGCATCTCAAAATTACCTTTCGATTGTTCTGGTATTCTGTTTAGGATTATGTTCCAAATGTCTTTCTAATCCCAAATCATCTTAATTTGGACAAACAACTACTGAACACACACACACTCACACGCACACTCACACACACGCATATTCAGAGAGAGAATTGTTTCTATCACTGTTCTTGAGGATGCCTCAATGGTGTGAGTCACCACACGTTTCCTTGCTTCTCTAAACCCCAGGCTCCCATGAGACAGATTACTTTTGGTACAACAGGGAGACAGTCAGTGAGTGGGTTAGGAGCAGGGTACACATAACTAATTCTACAAAACAAATCAAAGAATTTCAGCACAGGGCCTAAGGGTCTTTGTGATGGTGTGGACTCCTCCAGCCATTTGAACAGCAGAGTCACCACTACCTGTGTAACCTGCCCTGGAAAGGAGGGAGCAGGGGAGGCAAAGGGGAAGGTGGATAAGACAGCCTGGGTGGAGACTGGACTCTCCTTCCCTCTCATAGACACAGAATCCTGTGTTTCCACTGCTCTCAAGCTTTTCAATTGACCTGTATTGCCCCTGTCCCCAATGCTGGGGTAGCCTCAAGTGTCCTAGCCCATAATGACACCTCAGTAGCATCTTGCCTGTCCTGACATCAGCCTCACTCCCCTGCACCCCCAAACCAGGGGCTGCTCATGAAGTAGCTCTGGGGATTTTGAACCTGTGCTTTTATTAGATACAAACAGCTCCTTCACTGTGTAAGTGCATCCCGTGTGCTCTAGAATGCTCTGCCTGGGACCCTCAGTGCTTTTACTCAATAGCAAGTGGCAAGCTCTCTCTCACCATATGAAAGTGACATTCAAATGAATCTCAGGGAATAGGAGTGCAGGGGAGCGATGAGCCCAGTGAGTCCCAGGTGCTATCTGGATCAGAGAGCATTCCCGTGACAGCCTTTAACTAGACTGGGCGGCTGTTGTTAACGTTTCCATCACAGGGATGAGCTTGAGTTCTCAGCCCAACACTTTCTCCCATCTGGTCCTTCTCTGGCTCTTTCCTTTTGTCTTAACTACAGTATCACTTGCTTGAGACAGCATTCTCTTATGCGCATGATGCCACTATCTCTTAACTGGTCCCCCTGCCTTCACTCTGCCTCCTATCTCATCTTCTTTGGAGAAGCTGGGCTTTTTCAGCTAAAGCTGAAATCAAATTCTAAATCTTCCATGTTCAAAAAACTTTAACAGCTTCCTGTTGTCCACCCCTTTCTTGCCAATGTCACCTCTTGCCACACATCATAATATGCCTTCTTCTTATCAACTTGTTGACACTTTCTCTCCTGTACAGTGTCAGCCCCATGAGCATGGGTACCCTGTCTGTTCGTGCTGTATCCTGAGCCCTAGACCTGAGCCTGGCACATAGAAGGTGTTCAGTAAATGTTAAGGACAGACAGAGCTCTGCATCAGCTGTTTTCCTGAGTCAGACCCAGCTGGCCTCTCCATCTGTGCTCTTCTCTGGCTCATCACGGACTCTGTCCCCAGCGCAGGCTGCCTCTGGCATGAAGGAATTTCATTTGAGGCAGCTGACAAGGGCTCCCTTTGAGGGCCAATTTCGGGAGGATGAGGCTGCATTCTCTAGGTTGCTGTCCTCGCCCTGAGTCCTAAGCCCTTGTTAGAGGTGACACTAGCAAACATACAAACAAAAGGTAAACAGGCCCAGCTGTGCTGGCTGTGGGTGGCTGGTGCTGCAGGGAGGGTCACACTGTTGGGCAGCCTGGCATGTTCATGTGTTACTTCCCTGCAGGCTGGAGCACTGTAGGAGCCTGTCTAGGGCCACACTGTAGTAATTAGTCTTGTCCTCAGGCTGGTACCCGGAAGTACTCAATAAGGCTGTGTTTCCAGACTGGTAGCGTGAGAATCAGGCTAAGACCCCTGCAGGCCAGTATTGCTTCGATAGACCAGAGGTTTGAGAACACTGTTTGGTCCTTATTTGCACCAGGACACAGACCCAAGACCCACCTTGGTGCTGTTTTTAATGCAGGGGTGGTGACAGCCTCAGAATGTAGAGACTCCTGAGTCAGCACAGACTGCACCCAGGACCCTGAGAATCAGAAGAGAGACAGAGGGTGAATGAGGCAGGTCAGTGGAACAAGGGAACAAGGCAGAACCCCAGGCCCTCCCAGTCCCAGCTCCTGATGCCCAGTCTCTACCCACCTGCTCAGTGAGTGAGGAGGGTGAGGGGTCCAGGCAATGGTAGAGACACCCCAGAGCTCTGTTTACCAGCCCACGCAGCTCAGGGCTAACAGCCCCCAGGCTCTTATTCCCTCCTCAACCCCTGGAGAGGCAGGGGATTCAATGCACATATATCCTGCTACCCCTGGCTGTGCCTCCTCACACAGGACACTGAGCTTAGCAGTTCATCCTGAGGTGGAGCTGGCTGGAGGTGGGGAGAGCATGGTCCATCCCTCTCCAGGGCCTCTGGGAGGACACAGATGCTGGGCCCCCAAGCACAAAACAGAGACTGTGAATGAGTTATCTCATTTCCCAGCTGAGAGCTCAGCCTTGAACCCCCTTTCCAGGCTGCTCAAGATGCAGGTTTCTCTCTCCCTACTTGATTTCTCATTAAGCACACAGGGAGAGTGGTGAGTGTTAGGGAGGATCAATTAGCATGTTTGTATGGTTCACTGGACTCACTGAGAAATGAGGGGAAACCCAGGAAGTAGAAGGAGATGTACTAGCTGAGGTGAAAAGAAGAGAATCAGCAGGCTTCAGGGTCTTCAGAACTAAAGGATTAGAGAGGCTCAGGGAAGAGGAAGGAAATGTATGTGTCAACTTCCAAGTAGTAAAGATCTGGAAAAATGTCAATGGCTTTCCGAATAATAACGGCCTTTATAATTAACTGAACAGGGACGGGGAGAAGGCAGGTGGTACAAAAGGGAGAGAGAGAGCCCTGCCTTTAGAAGGGCAGTCTGAATCAGGCATGGAAGCCTCTGCACTTCAGAGAACACTGGAGAAGCCAAGAGGGAGAGTGGGCAAGAACCGAGGGGAGTGCAGGCCAGAAGACGTCTTTCTGTCTGTTTGTTTGCCTTTGTTTTTATTCTTAAAGAAAGAGGAGCCTCTCCCAGCTTTGCAGCTGTCCTCCCTGGAGGGCCCCAGGCATGGAGTACGGGAGTTTTTCTATAATGTAAACTCATTAATTCTTTATGTCAGAGATTTCTCTTAGGTTCTTGTCTACCGATGATTCTCCTTCTTATTTATACTCTTCTTATGGATTTACTATTAAAACATACATATGGGTGGCGGGGAGCTTTTAGACATGTAGAATCTCCGCCCTCACTCCAGATCCACTGAATCAGAATCCACAATTTACAAGATTCCCAGATGATTCGTGTGCACATCAAAGTCTGAGAGACACTGGTCTCTCAGACGCATGATCAAGAACACTGTTGTGGTTTTGGATGTGGACTGTCCCACGTGTCTCAATCTGTTCTGCTGGCAACTAACACGTGCAGCAATTAACTTCCTGTTTTTCTATTTTGTGCATCCTAAAGTCAGGAATAATGTGCTTGAGCCTTCCCGTTAAACGTGGCAGGCAAACCCCCCTGCCCCTGCCTCCTCACCTCAGAAAATCCACAGAAAGGACCAGGAGTATTTTATTAACAAGATTAATTACATAACATCACTTCTTCATTTGACTAGTAAACATTTGTAAACCTAAGTGCTATAAAATTGCATTAGTACCCAAATCAAAACAATATTAAGCAATCATTCAAATATTTGTATACATTTTAATAAATATTATTCTTTTATGATAAGAGTAGTATATAAAATGCAGAAATATGAGCACAAGGTTTGATCACAATTGTGGAAATATTGAGAACAAAATGAAAGACTGCATTCAAATTCAGAAATATGATTATATTGATTGATTATAGTTATATTGATAATAAAAGTTTGACGTAAAGAATCTTTTCAAAGAACTTGGTGATTTTTAATACCTTTTGCTTTATACAATGCATATGTGTTTCATTAAATGCAACTCAATAGAATAAATTTTAGTAATATACTAATGTAGTGTTTCTTCTCTTTGCATTTAGCCAGCAAAGTACATCATAGAGGATGCCCCTTTCTGGAGGAAATGTGTTTGACCTTAGCCCTTAGATCTGATCCAGCTGTTACTGTTCCTTCTGGATTATGAAATAATTGGATTTTGCTTTTCCTGAACCAGTTCCCCCCCAGATCACCCATGTATTTCCTCCACTTTAGTGCTTAAGCGGGTATGGGAATCAATTCAGACCCTTCCCTTCACCTTTCAGTAGATGGTCTACATCTAGGCTGTTTGAGAGCTGGTGTGTCTGATCATGTGATCCCCCTATCACAAGAGCCAGGGAAGGTTTATGTCTTGGTTCCCCATCAGGGTCTATCAGTGTGCTGAACACCACTGTATACTAGCCAGCAGTAGCACTCAGCCTTATCTTCCAACTGGGCTCCTGAGAGGGTCAGGGCAGCTTTGCCCTCAAATAGTGAGCCTGAGAACTGGGAGGGGGTCCATGAGTGTCTGCTGTTTGTGTTGTAAATCAATGTACTGAAGGCTTGGACAGATTTCTTCTGCCACCAGCAAGGATAGTGACCATTGGTGACCTCTCCAGTGCTAGAGCAACAGGTAAGAATGACTGTCCTTCCTGGGGAAACAGTGAGTGAGGGCTCCTCCTGAGTCACCACAGCTTGAGAATTGGACCCTGAAACCCAAAACATACACATCTAAGGAATAAGGAAAAAAGCAGAGGGATCCCTCCAAAGGCTGATATTTGACATCTATATTAACCTGGGGAATGAGTGAGGAGAAGGAGGAGGTGAGGAGTCCAGGCCGTGGTGCAGAAGTTAGAAGAACTCTCTGCTCCAGAGCTGGGGCTGGACTCTCTGATGGCTTTTTATCTCCTACTGAGCTTGTAGTGTGAAGGGGGTGTGTTTGAGTGTTGCATTGTGCAAATCTGAGCCCTTGGCCACCCCTTTCCACTACTCAGCCCTGACAGTGGCTACACTGTTGGACGGTAGGCCAGGGGTGGTTGTGTGCTGTGGATTTACTCCATGGGAGGAAGGAGTTGCTCAAGATTTTACACGGGCCAGTGAGCAACTATTCAGGGGCCATTAAATTTGAACCACTTGAGTATCCTCAAGTCCTATGAGAAGATCCACAGTGCCCTTTGGTGGCCTTCTTGGGCTAAGGGTGTGTTATCTCTCATTCATTGAACAAATAACTATTAATTTATCTTTTTGACATCACAAATGTATTTCCCAGGCCAAACTACATTCATTACTAGTCTCTTCTTTGCTCATTCCTGTTTTTACTTCTCTCTCTAGTTGCTGAAATCCCACCCCACTGTCTGTAATTTAATTTTAGTGATACATGGTCTTAATTTCTTATCTGAGCGTTTTGAATGACTAGAAGAATTGTTTCATGACCAACTCACTCTATTGAAGTTATTTATTTTGAATCTCACATTGAATAAACAGCTGAACTAAGTCAGAATTATTTTAACAATTTATTTTTGAGAATTTAAAAAAGAAAAGGACCCAAAACTCAGGGTTAAATGTTTTTCTGCCAATTCAGTGAAGACTAAAGTCAGCCATGAGAGTGGTCTACCGAGTCTACGTGACCAAGCCCCTCAAAACTGAGGATACCAAGCTTGGGCGAGCTTTCCTGTTTGGCAGTGTTCCATGCATAGTATCACACCCTGGTGCCAAGAGAAGTTAGCGTTGTCTGTGACTCCACTGGGAGAAGATAACTGGAAGCTTGCTCTTGGAATTCTCCTGGACCTGCCCATGTGCCTCTTCCTTTGACTGATTTTAATCTGTAGCCTTTGCTGTATTAAACCATATCTATGAGCATAAGAGCTTTCAGTGAGTTATGTGAATTCCTCACTGGGAATTATCAAAACTTCAGGGATTTTTGGGACCCCCGAACTTGCAATTGTTATCAGAATTGAGGGTGTTGTTGGATACCCTCAGATTTGTAGGGTCCAAACTCACATTTGTTTGTTTTATCACATAGATGACATCATTCTGAGTCACCTGTAATGAGGCAACTCCAGATCTCTTGGCCTGTTAGGATGCCAAAGGGCCAGCATAAAAGGAAGGGTATCCTGGATACTCAGGCACACCTTCCTCATCCTGTATTCTTCCACTGCTCTTGGAAGTAGAGAAACTGCATCAAATATAAATCTTCCTCCTTTTCTTATAATGGTAAAATATTCATAACATAAAATTTACTCTCTTAACCATTTTTAAATACACAGTTCAGTGGCATAAGGTAAATTTACATTGTTGCACAGCCATCACTATCACCTATCTCCAGAATCTTTTCATCTTTCCAAACTGAAACTCCATATCCATTAAACAGTAACTGCCCATTCTCCCCTCCCCCAAAATTTGGAAAACATGATTCTACTTTCTGTGTTTATGAAATTGACTGCTCTGGGTATCTCTTTTAGGAGAATCATACAATATTTGTCCTTTGTGACTATCTTATTTCACTTAGAAGAATGTCTTCAAGGTTCACCCACATTGTAGCATGTGTCAGAATTTACTATTTTTTAAGGCAGAATAATATTCCATTGTTTGTGTATACTACATTTTGTTTATCCATCCATCTGTTGATGGACATGTGGATTCTTTCTAACTTTTAGCTATTGTGAATAATGGTATGAGCGTGCTTGTACAAATATCTCTTGGAGAGCTTGCTTTCAGTTCTTTTGGGCACTTGGAGGTGAAATTTCTGGATCATATAGTAATTTTGTGTTTGACTTTTTGAGAAACAGCCACAGTGTCTTCCACAGTGGCTACCCCATTTTATGTTCCTTCTGGCAATGCACAAGAGTCCCATTTTCTGCACATCTTTGTCAAGACTTGTTATTTTCTGCTCTTCTAGTAATACCATCCTAATGGTTGTAAAGAGGCATCTCATTGTGGTCTTGATTTACATTTCCCTAATGATTTGTGTTGAGCATCACATCACATGCTTATTGACCATTTGTGTATCTTCTTTGAAGAAATGTCTATTCAAGTCTTTGCTCATGTTTGATTTAGATTTTTGTAGAGAAG